GTCAAACTGGGGCTTGGCAACCTCGAGGTAGTACATGCCCAACAACATGTCAAAGGGCAACTCGTCGCTCACCAGGAATGATATCTTATGATTTAACTCTCCTCCTGGATAGGAGAAGGTGCAGACTACATCTTTAACATAGTCCTCCACCATCATGCGCTCGTTGTTGGCCAAACTAGATGCTACCGGTCTACTAAGGCGCTGCACCCGGTCCTTTAGGCACAGTCTGTCAATGCAGTCGCGACTTATGAAGTTTCGCATGGAGCCAATGTCTACGAAGGCGCCGCACTTGCAACCACCCACATCAACTTCCACAACGAAGTGCTCCCCTCTAGGACCTCTACTCAATGCCACCCAGCACTCACGAGGGTCCCTTCCCGACCACTCACCTTGAAGGTCCTCTAAGGCCTCAGACACATCCAATGTACAAAGTATAGTTGGGTCCGGATGCGTCTGCGGGGTGACTAAGGAGTCAATAGCTTTGGCCATCTCTTGAAACGGGGAGGGTACATCACTCGCTTCAACGAGTGTAGAAGCAGCTATAACTTCTACTGGTCCTAAGTGTTTCCCGAACTGGAACTCGTAGAGGCCCCAAATTGAGAAGAAGAGAACCCACCCTTAGGAGGGATCTTCTGCGAGACCTTCGGGTTCTTGCATTTAAACTGGGTGTGACCGTACTCACCACAGTTAATGCAAGCACCACGACTCCAACGGTCCCGCCACACTTCTTGATCCAGACCTGCTCTAACCCAAGCAGCTATTCTGTTTGGGTTAGCGGCCTGCCCCTGACTCCTTTGTTGACCGCCCTTGCCGCGGCCACCTGCCTTAGTCTTAACTACGGCGGGGAGGTTGCTACCCTCAACACTCTCCTCGCCGTCAAACTCTGAACCCTCCACAATATCGGAAATATCATCGATCTCAGTTTGATTCCCATCGGAATCAACCATCATCAATCGACTACCCTTCTTCTTCCACTCTTGTGGAGTCTTCTTCTTTCTCCCATTCGTAGAAGGGGTTTGAGCTCCACCCAGCGTAGCCTCTAAGTCTAGGGCCTTCTTGCTGAATGACTCAAAGGTGTGATACTCGCGTCGAGCCTCACTGGCTAATAAATTCCTAATGTCTGTGGGAAGACATCTCAGGAACATGGTCAGCAAGACCTGTGGATTGTACTCCACTCCCGGGACGACGATCGGGCGCTCTATGGCTGTGGCGAGTTCCCGCACTGACTTGTACTTTTTAGTATCAAGCTTTAAGAGCCCATCAATGGCAATCTGTGTCTGCTGTGGGTTGTGCCAACGAGCCTCCACTAAGTCCATAAAGCTTTCTAATGTATGGGTCTGCGCCCAATCATGCATGTTCCTCCCGAAGCCCTTTGAAGCTACCAATCCGTTTAGCCAACGGGCTGTTGAACCTTCTAAGTAGGATGCAGCAGTAATCACCTCCTCTTCTACCAATGTCCTCTTTGCCCTTACCCACACTGGCACCGTTCTCAACCATGTGTCGAGAGCCTCATCCTTCTCATCTCCTGAGAAGGTTGCAGGTGGGTTCAGTGGGGTCTTTGGGTACCAAGGATATTGTTGTCCCTGTTGTGAGACAGGTGGCGACTGTGGTGTAGCAACAGTCGCTGGACCAGAAGATGAAGAAGCAACAGTCAAAGATAGAGGTACTGTTGATGGTACACTTGGTGGTGGTGTAGACTGAGACCTGTCATCGCTGAGAGTGGCAGCGATGGTAAAGCTGCTGGCCGAATCCCTGGCTTATGCAGCGCTTTCAGAATCTGGTCTAGGGTATCTTGCATGGCGTCCATCTTGCTATCTATGTACGCATGCATGGACATAACACTTGCCTTAAGGATCTTTCTTGTAGAGTTAAGGGTTGTGTCGTCTAAACCCTCTAGCGCAGCCAAATCTGCCTCCCTGCTCTCTAGTCTGCTACTCCTTTCTTTGATCTCTTTCTCTCTTTTAGTAGCCTGTCTAAGTTCCTCCTCTAACCTTAAGCGGATCCTCTCTACTTGCTGGAGCTCCATCTGCTCCCGGGTGCGTGGAGGCGGCGAGCTGAACTGCGAGCCCGCCATTTGACTAGTGCCAACCCCTGACGTAGTGGAGATTGACTGTGAACTGGTCGGCATGCCTAGCCCTTGACCAGTTGAGTTCGCAGCAGTTGCTGCGGCAGTACCATTACTCATTGCTACCGCTCTAGCGGCTGCTGCTTCTCTTGCAGCCTCAAGATTACGGGCCCTAGCTTCAGCCCTTAATCTTCTCTCTTCTCCCGGTTGTAGGGTCTGAAACACACTAGGGATTCTAAGGGATGATAGCCCTGTTAACCTCCTATCGTCATCTGCACCTCCCTCACCCTGTGATCCACTCATAGGATAGGCAGACGCTGTCTGCACTAATGTCCTCGCTGGAACCTACCGCAGCATGCGTCTGACCGGATCTAATAAATGTCCGGCAAGTTACCTAGCCTACTAGTCAAGTGGCATCAACGACATCTACTCAAACTATACACATTGCCTAAGTCTTATTCTGATTAGTCTGCACATAAGATTTGAGAAGAACTGACTATGGTAGATTAGAGTCCTATCTCTAGTCTGTCTGTTAGGTGTCAGCAGTCGGTCAACCAACTAATCAAAATAAAACTCAGACTAATGTGAGCAGATGTATACACAATCGACATGTCAGTGATGTACAGTTGAGTTCACAATTGGAATCCCCTTCCCCTGTATCCAATGTACCTGTGAGCATCATCAAGCTGCGGTGTCTAAGGGTGCAACCACGGCCCACCCCTGTGCCCAAGAAGTATGCTTATGACCAGCCTGCCCCTTTGTTTACCCTCGCGTGCAACGAGCCTTACGTCTGAATGATCTGGCTGATCAGGAGGGATTAAAGGAGAGCCCCCATCTCCTAAGGAATTATTTAAAGTCGCAAACAGGACGACGATCACAGCCAGTGGACAGTTCAGACCCCAACCAGAAATGTTTATAGACGGTCTGGGAGCGTCTCAATAGGACTGGTCAATCCGCACACCCCTTCTATCAGCGCAGCAAAGAGCCTCAATGGACAAAGCAGCCATCGCATGCGTGTACTAATCCCATTGGGTTGGCATGGTGACCGTGACCCACGTGCTTCGACCAGG